ATTTATTTATGTAACGATCCAGAATCCCCTCATCTCATTGGTCGAACCAAGTGTTGCTCGCGGTGAAGATAGCGGGAGACAGATTAGCATCACCAGGCTCGGACTGGGAACGATTTTTGGTCCTGGCATTATTCCATCTACACAGGCCCATCTGCCAGTCTAGGCGGCATGAGGGCAATGAAATAGAATAATGCAAACAGATGCTAAACCCCATCATGCATTGCAACTTATTTTTGCAAAATATTCTAACATAAATTCGCCAAATATAAGAGGGACTTCGTAGTTTGGTTTAAAGAAAGCATTTTAGTTTTATTATTATTCAGGTTCTTGCAAGGATTTTACAGTTTGAAGAAATAGAAAATGACACCATATTCCAACCGTCACCAGGATGAGCATGAAGGAAGGGTTATATATACTGCAGGCATCATTTAGGGAGTTAACATTGGATCACTGCTTCAGCTCCTTCAGTTATTTACTGTCACAGGTACGAGCTTCAGCCGGAGTATGTGTTTGGGCCGCTATGATTTAAGGAGGGCCGGCCCTCGCACGCTGACATTAGGCCCCGCCCACCTCTCAGGTTACCAGTCTGTGTCATGAAGGGATTAGATGTCTAACCCATATGCAGAAACACACGGAGGTTAGGAGAAAGTTCAAAAGGTTTATTGACAAAAGGTGTAAATAAAATGTGAACAGGAACTTGGGTGGTCAGACTGGTCCCGGCTGGATCTCCACTGAGGAGGACAGAGAGGTTAGAGGAGTTCCAGGTAAACTGCTGTTTATCAGATGATGCGGGGAATACCTGCTTAGAAGTGGAACTGATCAGCGGGGGGGGAAACTTGAGGGTCCAGAGGCTAGTAGGCAGGCAGAGGGCTGAGGGCTAGCAGAGACTGAACTGAGTGCAGGCGGGCGGAGAACTGAGAGCTTGGCAGAGGCAAACTGAGTGCAGGCAGGCAGATTCCAGGTTGAGGTCTCTCTCTCTTCAGTGTTTCAGGTTTCCAGGCAGGTCAGGTTCTGAGAGACAGGGAGAAAACAGGGTCAGACAGGTTCAGAAGAATCAGGCAAGATCTGGTAGACTGGCTCAGGTTTTGCTGGTACCATTACTGGCAAACACTCTGGCACTGGAGTGTCAGTCTCCGCCTTCTTAAGTAGGAGCCTCCTCATGAGCAGATTGAAGACAGGTGTTGCAGTCAGCTCATGCCCCCAGGCGATCTAGTGCGCCCTCTGGTGGAGAAGATGGACACAGCCTCCAGATCCCAACAGTCTGAGCCAAAGACAAACAACTCCTGACTGCTGCAAGAGCTCAGAGAAAATACAAGTGGAAAAAATGTAGACTATTGCTGCAAAATTTAGCTTTTTTTTTTTTTACAACTACAGCCTACAGTTATTGCATTTAAGGCACAAATACACTCACCGGCCACTTTATTAGGTACCCCATGCTAGTAACGGGTTGGACCCCCTTTTGCCTTCAGAA